TGAAATATTTCTCACAAATTTAGAAATATCTGATGATTGGGAGGAAAAGTACCTTCTGTTCAAACAGTTCTCCCTTGTCATGGAGTTTATGATGGTCACTGGTGTTGAAACCTTCCTAATCACTGAGCAGAATCAGAGGTGTAGTTATTAGTAGCCTTTGTTCTCTGGGGAAATTCTCAAGTCTGCAAAACCATCTTGGTAATGGTCCACTAAGCAGCTACTTCATGAGGTTTGGCACAATAGAGGAAATAAAGTAAACATGACAATGGAATGGCATTAAGTATTCAAAAGCACAGTAACTGCTTTGCTCATTTATTACCACCACAGGATAGTTTGCTTATTTGTGACTTTGAAGCCAGATTAATTCTACGTTACTTGATACTCTTCAGTAGCTCTACGCTGACTACAGAAAATTCAAAATCTTTAGCAAGGAATGTGAATCCTTCCATAATTGGTTGGTTTTCTCTCTCCCTAATCAGTACCAGCTGAAGTAAACAGCCAGCTCCCTGAAGAAGCCAGGCTGTTTCTTCCTTAGTTCCTTCTGTTCATCTTTCTCTGATTGAGGCCCTTCCTCCTTCACTGGACTCTCTGCTCAAAGGCACTGTAGGATAAGCACTAGACTGCAAGGTTGATGTGAACCACAAGGTCAGTGGTTCAGACCCACCAGTTGCTCCTTGGAAATCCTATAAAGGGTTGCTAGAAGTCGGAAACGAGTCAACGGCACTTAGCGGAGTCCTGGTGTGCCAGTATAGGATAAGCACTGGACCGCAAGGCCAGTGTGAACTACAAGGTCAGTAGCTCAAACTCACCAGGTTATCCTCAGAAACCCTATACAGGGTTGCTATGAGTCACAACCAATTTGATGGCACTTAACAAAAACAAGCTAGCCTTGAAGGATAAGCACTGGTCCCTCATTGGTTATGACTCTATCAAGTGTTTTTCAGCACCCAGTCTGAGCAAGGCTAGTCAATCCCTCCTTCCCACAGAGCCCTTTATCCCCTACTTACAGATTTCCTAACGGATCAGTTCCCTGGCTATTTCTAAAATGGCATTTCCACCACTCTTCCCTTCATGTGCTCCAGACACACTGACCTTGAAGTTTTCGTCTAGGCTTTTGCATGGTGTGGTCCCAACTTCATTGGACTCTGCTCAAAGGTCACCTCCTAAAGGGTTGTATCTGACGAATTCTAAGCTGATGTTGTAGAATAAGCATTGGACTACTACCCAAAGGAGTCCTGGTGTGGTGCTGCAGGATAAGCACTCAACTGCTAATTATCAGACACTCCTCGAAAACCCTTATATAGGGTCACTGAATCAGAACCACCTTTACAGTACTTAACAACAGCAGCAGCAGCTAACCAAAGGTCGGTAGTTCAGACCCACTAGCCACTCCTCAGAAACCCTATACAGGGGCACCATAGGTTGGAATCGACTTGATGGCACTTAGTAACAAAACCAAGCTAAAAATGTTCTCTCCTTATTTTTCTAAATAGAAAGATTCTTCTCTCTAAGGCCTCACCCTGCCCTACTTGTTCTTACTAGTACTGATCAGAATTTAACATTATGTAGTTATTAATGTGTCTGTCTTCCCTTCTATAAACCCTAAGAAGTTGGGCCTTGGTTTTGTTCACTGCTGAAAACATTTGCTAATAATTCAATCAATGAATGATGACACCAATGATGCTTTATCATTTTTGTTGATTTAAGACTTCTCTGGCTCCCCCTGCTGGACTGCTACGGTTGTATCCTAATCCTCTTAATTTCCTCAGAAACATCATTGTTGTTGTTGTTGTTGTTGTTATTATGTGCCGTGGAGTCGGTTCCAACTAGTAGCGACCCTGTACAGGGTTTCCGAGGCTGGAAATCTTTACAGGAGCAGAAAGCCTCATCTTTCTCCCACGGAACAGCTGGAAGTTTCGAACTGCTGACCTTGCAGCTCACAGCCCGATTCATAACCACTACGCTACCAGAGCTCCTTCAGAAACATCATAGCACATAACATCTTAAAATTCTTTGTATGACAGAACAGCATCAAGTATAAATTACCTACAGTGGTTCCCACCAAAGGGACTCTGAATCCATGTATGCTGTATTGGCTGGAGAAAATGCAACTATATTTCCATAATCCCTTGATCTGAAACTCTTGGGGCCAGATGTGTTTTAGAATCTACAACTGTTTACTACTTACACCCTAGGAGGGTCTGGGGCATTGCCCTGCAATCAAATACATTGATAGCTCTGCAGCAGATTATGCAAAGAGTCCTACTAAGTACAATAAATAAAAGTTCAAGTAAAGGTTTGCTGCCAAGAACAAATGTTCAAAGTTTTGTGATTTTGGACGATGTACTGTGAATATGTTCTAGCTGTATGGAGATCTCAGAAATATTTCCAAGCTAACATGGCTTCTTCATACTCGGTCAGGTTGGGAAGCACTGATCTAACATAAAAGTTTAAAACAACTCCCCTCCCCCATTATAGGTAACATAAATGAAGAATTTACTTTGTGTCGGCTCCTTAAAATATAGCAGTATAACTGGTTTGCCTCATTTCACATATGAACAAACTAGGGTTTGGGGAGAGGGTTGGCAGTTTGTTGCACAGCTATGGCTGACCTGGGATCCAAACCCAAGCTATCCATGCTAAACATCCATATGCTGACCACCACCTATAATCCTGACTTCATATGGTACAAGATAACAAGTTTTTAGTCTTCCCAAGTTTCTTTGTGGTCCTGAGGCTAACAAAAGTTTCTGTAAATCAAGTGAATATAAAAATCTTTATGCTACAAGTTCCTCTTATGCAAAAATAGAAAAGATGGGGGTGGGGAGGGGCTGGGGCTGGCTACTATATATAGCCAAAATTTAACTTCATATTTGTAAAATGGAATAATTTACTTCCTCAGCTAAATAAGTGCTTTAAATATTTATAATGAGATCAAGTGATTTCCAGATAATTAAAAACATATATAGTTCCATTAACTTGCCCTGATTTCTTTTGCAGAGCCATGACCCAAGGCCTGCTATTCCCTGACAGATAGGGTTAGAGAAGATAAAAGAGATCAATGAAAAAGGCACTAACTATAGAAAATATGTCGATTTTTACACTGTCTTTTTCAAGGACACCTTACAGTTGTTCAGATTTTTTTAAAGCCAGGCAAGAGTTGGTAAAATTTACTTCGGATGGCCACAACAAACATAATGTACTCCTTCAGAATGACCTAACACAGCAATAACATTTTGGCATTAAGGAGTTAGTTGTATAAGAACAATAAAGCTAGTTTAAAATCCCTACATAGGATCTCTGGTGTGACGCTGTGGATCAGCACTGGACTGCAAACCACAAGGTCAGCAGTTCAAACCCATCAGCTACATCTCGGAAACCCCATACAGGGTCGGTATGAGTTGGAACCAACTCGGTGGCACTTAACAACATCACCACCACATAGGGCTATAGTTTCAATGGAAGACAGCACTTTAGACCTAAACCACATGTGTATGAAAGCCTCAAACTGTGAAATGTAAAGTAGCAAAAACATGACACACATTAACTCTATGGTACAAAGCAGATCATGTGCAACGAGGATTAAGAAATGAAAATAACATACACACTAAAAACATCACAACAGAAACGGGCTTTATTTCAACCAGACAAGTGAATACTTCAATTAGTTAGCATCAATTTCAAGACGTAAAGATAAGAAATTAAAGGATAGTACTCAGAAGGCAGAAAGGAAAGATTCATCAAAGAACAACTATATTGTCCTTCAAAAATCCCTTTCAGCAATATGTTCAACCCCCCAAATCGGTTTATTCTACATCATTAGCTCTTATGTATTCCAATTTTTGTACAAAAGCCTCAGTGAATGTTACCCATCAGAGCCTATTGAGTCTTCAAAGGAAAAAAAAAAAAAGATTAGTATTATAATTTTTTTTTTAATTTTAGAAACTGGGATTGAAATACAGATATAAGTTTAAAGTATTAAAAATGAAAAACTTTAATATTATTATTTATAAGATGCCTTGTTACAAAGCTCCTAGGTACATACATGTACACAAAAAAGTAGCTATTACTATCTGACAGCCCTGGTCCATGATTTTCCCTAAATCTCCTGATATGAATGATTACATCCTGCATAAGAACCACTGCCATTCTGTGTTATGCAGGGCTGAGGATTTCCATCATAGAACATCTGCATTTGATAGAAGCTAATATAAAGGAGCCCTGGTGTGGCGCTGTGGGTTAATGCGCCAGACTGCAAAGCCATTTGAACTACAAGGTTGGTGGTTTAAGCTCACCAGTCACTCCTTGGAAACCCTATACAGGATCCCTATGGGTCTGAACCGACTCGACAGCACTTAACAACAACAACAACAATATAAAAGAAATCCAACAAAACTCTGTTACATTCATGAGAGATAATATAAAATTGCATATGATTTTCAACTTTTTGCCAGACTCATTAAATTCAGTAACACATTCAGAGTCTTCTCTTCCTGGGCACTTCTGAGAGCTTTAGAGCTCGTGGTTAACTTTGTATTGACTTGGACAGCACCTTCAATACTAAGAATGATTATGTTCAAAGAAAGGTTATCACTTGGGTCAGTAACATGGGAGAGATCATCCAAGGACAGAAGTAGGGGAAAGAACTCTCTTTTTTCATAAGACATGCAACCAGAAAAACAAGACACAAAAAGGTAAAACAAACTAACGAACAGTATTTACAGTAAAACATGCCAGATTTGTAGTTTCATTTGAAACAAACAGCAAATCATGAAACGTCATGAAAAATATAAGTAAAGGTAAAATCTCCTAGAGTAATTACTAAATGAAGCTAAAATGATACCACACTGATCAGTAAACCCCAGAAGAAGAAGAAGAAGAAAAATAGCATTTACATTTCAGGTCCTTCTTAAACATCATACAATTTTGCAAAGTTAATGCATAAAATTAATAGGTTTGGCCACTCTGCACATTTTTTTTTTTAAATACAGTATACAGAAAAACTCTTTTATTCTCCATTTTGAATCAAAAGCTCAAAACCCAAGAGTAAAAAATCAGCTAGGAGGATTTTAAATTATATACACATCCAGCAGGTCTAACCGCCATGATGGCTTGGCTTCCAAGCCCGCAGTGGCTTTCCCCCTCTCCAGCAGCAGTCCTCAGCTCCCAGGAGGCCGCTCCTCTCTCTACAGGTCAGTAGTCATTTTAAATAGTTCCAGTAGTGCCCCAACCGCTCCAAAATAACCCTGTGAAAACAACGGGAAAACCTCTGAAGTTAAGACTGGAGAGAATTTTCTGAAGGCCACCACCTTCAAGAGATTGTAAGAATGTTCCTTCTGATTCCTAGAAGGTGGTCGTAGAGACTGAATTATGATACTTAGCAAACCAAGCCTACAATCCACAGAGGCCTAGGATTGTACCAAGTGATAGAGGTGACTACATTTTTTCAAGAGGTGAGTCTTCTCAAAATGTTGAATCTCATTCCCTAGTTTGTCATCAATTGTGTAACCCTGGAGATGAGTTTCATTGCCTAGCTTTCTCCAGGTTTTCTTTATTGCATACTCAAGAGGGTCTGAATTTAGGGTTGCCAGATTAAATAAATGGATGTCTTTATTTTGATGGCTAAATATGGCAACTCTATGTGGGTGAGACCAGTGATTTTCTTTTTTTTTTTCTATTTATTTTTCTTAAAGCTGAGGTGATTTTTTTTTTTTCTTTTTTAAATACGCAAACTCTCACATGAAAGCTCAATAAATAAGTAGATAAAAACAGAGCAGCTGTAGCTTGGGGAAAAGATAATGACGTTCTGGGACTCCATCCTGAAATCTTAAAAAAAACAACTATTGGTCTCTTAGACCTATATTTAAAAAAAAAATTAAAAAGACCTTTTAAAGTATTAATTCCTATCGTTGTTGTTGTTGTTAAGTGGCATTGAGTTGGCTCTGACCCATAGCAACCCTGTATACGGTTTCTGAGGAGCAGCTGGTGTGTTTGAACTGCTGACTTTGTGGTCCAGCACATTACCCTGCAGTGCCACACCTGGGCAATTTAGTATGTAAATATTTATTCTTTTATATGCTTTTCTAAAGCAAAACATGGATATAGCTCTAAATAACTTGTAAATGTATTCAGTGACTTTACAAATAAATAATTCCATTTGGAGATGAGAAAACTGAAATTTACAGTAATAGACTCCACGGCACATAACAACAACAACAAGTTCTCTCAATATTTTTTTCGACAACATACACAACCAACCAACCAACTGCTGCTGAGGTGAAGCTGAGTTAAAGTGACCCATGTGTGTCAGAGGAAAACTGTGCTCCACACAGTTTTCAGTGGAGGATCACCAGGTCTTTCTTCAGAAGGGCCTCTGGGTGAACCTGAACCTCTGACCTTACAGTTGGGATCTGAGCATCTTCACCGTTTGGGTGGTGCAAAATAGGCCTTTTGAGCATGGATTGTGCTAACTAGAATTCTGTAGTTGTGTTTACCATCAAATCTGTTTACAACAGTTTTAATGTTAATGTAATACTGTAATTTTATTGTATACTGCATAAGCCAATGAAAAATTGGTACAAAAAGAATGGTTCTGTCTGTGAAAATTCAACTAAACACCTAGAAAAAAATTTGAAAAAGGTAGTCACAAAATAATGGTATTTATTTGTGAATGACACAACATAAACAAAATGGAAAGAAAAATCTAGAATTATGCAACCAAATTTCTTCACAAATGTCTTTAGTTTCTTGAACAAATTTAAAGAAACAAACTAGAAACCTTGTGAGTTAGACAGCTACATAATTCTAATCACCATAATCTATGCTCAAGAATATGTGTTGGCCCTAATCAAAAGGCTACTGATGAATGTATATTTATATAACTAAAATAAAAATAAAAAGATTGAAGTAGGGAGCTATTTTGTTGTTGTTTTTTGCATGATGAAAGATTATTTGTGTTTTATAGGATGTGGGGGGCTGATTCATAGATAGTTTAGAGTGAAGAGCCAAACTTATGAAGGAGCTTCATGATATTAGTTCAAATAAAAATACCAATTTTATCATTAGCTGTCTCTATGATAATTTTACCCAGAAGTTCAGTGAGTTAAAAGGTCACTAAAAAAAAAAAATTAATAATAATCACAATCGTCTTGTAGTTAAAACTTCTTGTCAACCAGACTGAACCAGGATTCAGAGAAGTTTGAGGTTGACACACGAAAGGGCAACCTATCTCTGATGATGTGCTCTGAGATAGTGCAATCAACTCGAATCAATTCAAAGGGTGTTTCTTCCTCCAGGGCGTGTGGCCTGCTGCCTGTATATTGGCCACTGGGGTAGTTGGTTGACTCTGTTGACTCTGGCTCTTGCATTTGACCTGTCATTCAACCTCCAGTTCTTTGGTGAGCCTGGGAGTCCTTATCAGCCAGCCTTCTGACCTGCCAAGATGGCTCATCAACCCTGCAGTGCTCCCTAAAGTGACACGCAAAAATCCACCAACAAAATGCCAAAGTTCCAATCCTGTATGACTCACCTCAGTTCTCACCGTAACCCCAGTCCTGTTGCCTAATAAAAATGCAGCAAGAACCTTCATTAGCAAACATTTATGTATACTGACATAACACAGTGTACATTTTGCTGGATTTTCAGAGGTTGCCACATAAGGGCACAAAGAGTCATTCCAAAAGACTAAATTGACTCATCCCACCTCACTGAGGCTGCCCCTGGGATTCTCGTAGTTACTATTCATACCTCAGGTAGGCTTACCTTAGCCTGACTTCTAACACTAGGGCTTCATTTGGCTTAGTTTTGAAGTTTAAGCCAATGCAATTATTCACTGTGTATACTCATACTCTTTCTGTGTCTGGTTTTTTTCATGTAATATTACATTTGACTACCACATTTAAAATAACTTTTAAAAACTTTAAATATCCCTATTTAAATGGTTAAAGTTCAAATAGGATGGAAAGATTCAAATGGAAATTTGTTCTTTCTCCTATTCCTTTCCACAGTGTTACCAGTTTGTTTCGGGTTTTTGTGTGTTTTTGGAGAGACATTTTAGGCATAAACAGACCTCTGCATATATTCGTAGAAGAAAACTTCAGGAGGCTTGCTTCATCTGTATTTCCTGAGTTGATGTACTTTCTCTACCTCCCTCCTATGAGGGACCTATTTTTTAATAACTAACCATTTTAACCGATGCCCAGTCCTGATTGCAAAATGCAAATGAGATTTTTTTCTATAGTTTGACCAATTTTCAAACTAAGAACATCCAGTCAAAAATCAGATAACCCAAGATCTGTTACATATAGGGCAGTGAAATCCATGGAGTCTCAACCTACCTCATGTTCCAAGAAGAGAGCTTTCAGCTGTCCTTTGGACCAAAAGTCCATAGCATATGCAAGCAGCTTCATGGAGACCATATTGATTCTGAGAAAGTTCCCAACAAACACAACTCTGTCAATATTCTGAAAGGAAAGTTAAAGAAAAATGCTTGAACCCAAATGCTTTGTGTGCCACTCTAACTCCTATGGTCTTGCACAGTGAATTTTCTTCTTTTCACAGAATGAGTCCAGCCTTTCTGAGATGAAGCCAAGCTACCTTGGACCTTTATAGTCAGTACATGCCATAAGAACAGGAGGGTGAAACAGAGGCTGATATTGGGTATCTGCAGATAGCATGTTAAGTACCCTTAAAGTCTGACATGAAATTCCACTTCCAATATACATATATAAAATTATAACTGGAGTTCAGCTAAATTTGCTTGTTTGTTTCACAAATCCCCAAAATTTCTACCTATAAATATTACCATATCCAATTTAGAAGTATCATACTAATAAGGCTGGCCATGGTATGATTTATTCACTTACTGAACTTGTCCAGGAGTTACTCTGAGCCAAGCAGTATGAATACAAAAACAAACAAAACAAAAAACAATGCTAATTATCTGCCCTCAGAATCCATGGTAGAATATCCTGTTTAGTCAACAAAGGGGCTAAAATACGGTAACAAAAAAATGTGTCTTTGTTTTTTGTGAAGGGATGAATAACAGATTTGCATTCTGAATACATACTTATGAACATTCCTCCCCTCTCCTGTCCATGCAGACAGACTTCAAATCCCCTAAGCTCAGTTCCAGTGTGTTCAAGGCACTCCACTCTCCCCTCTCCCCCTGAGCTTTCTGAAGCCTACAACTGACCTCAGCCTGTTTAGCACTTACAGGCTGCTTGCCACAGAAAGGGCCAATCGCTCTGATCACTCATATCAAAGGGAAGGAGTGTCTTTGAAGCTGGCATTATTTTCTGTTCGGTCTTTCAAGAGTAACAAGGGTCTGCAAATACCACCTTTTAACTGTCTCAAGTTTTAACATGTTTATCAACCCAGTGTTGTTACTGTTATTGTGTTAGGTGTCCTTGAGTCCACTCAAAGAGACTCTATGTACAATAGAATGAAACACTGCCCAGTCCTGTCCCATCCTGACAATTGTTACTATGCTAGAGGTCACTGCTGCAGCCACGTGTCAATGCATCTCATTGAGGGCCTTCCTCTTTTCCTCAGACCCTTGGCTTTGTTAAACATGATGCCCTTCTCTCGGGACTGGTCCCTTCTGATAATATGTCCTAAGTACATGAGAGAAGGTCTCACCATCCTCAGCTCCAAGGAGGATTCTGGTTGTACTTCAACCCATGAACCACTATGAACAATTTTCATGGCTAGAAGGGTAGAGGGGGATTTTAGTTTAGCAATTTTCCACCAAAAAACAAAACCAAACTGCCCAGACTAAGAGGTGGCAAGAAAAACTCATAAGTATGGAACTCATATTAAAGAGGAATCTAATTAAATAAATTAGGAGCTTTGAGCTTTCTCCCAAACAAGGGATCCCCAGTCCTGCATTACTCTCATAGAAAGAAAGAAGGACGAGAAATGGCATTGAAGATGACGGGAGGGTGCTCAGGAGACTGGACAATCATAAAACACATTATACTTGTTTGAAAGCTGATAGGCATTCCTTACTTCAAATAAATTCCAGATGGGTCAAAGATGTAATGTTTTAAAAAAGAAGATACTAGAAGGAAAGATGGAAAAATCTTTTTTAAAATAATATTAAAATAGAAAAGGCATAGTATGTAGAATAGATTTTTTTAAAAGATTGGTATATTTGCTTGAAATTCAAACATTTATTCAAGGGAAAATATCATCACAAATAAATCCAAATGGAAAGCAATAAACAGAAAGCATTTTCAGTACATAGCACATAAAATGAGTTAATTGCCTAGTTAATGAGCTTCTACAAATCAATAAGACAAAACACACACACACACACACACACACACACAAGGAAGACTAACAATCCAATAAAGTAGGTGAACAAAATAAATCACATACACACACACAAAAGAGGGAATATCAAAGGGTACTAAATATAAGAAAAAAGCTTCACTTATAATAAGAAAAATGAAAATTAAAACGATATTATTTCTTATCTATTAGATTGGAAAAGAACAAAATGTCTGCTAATCCTCTGTGGAGAAACATGGATTGTTATACTGTTAGTGGTAATAAAAATGAGCCCAACCCCTCTACAGGGGGAATTTTATAGTATCTGTCAATAGACATATCTTTTGACTTAGCAGTTTCTCTTCTAGGAACTTATCCTACTGATATACTTACAGGTATACTAAATGGTGTATTTGTGTGCAAAATAACATGTTTGTGTTTACATATATATATACCATACATATATAAATCGTGTCTACATATACATACACACATCATACATATATACATCATGCATGTGTGTGTGTGCGCTGTGGATTAATGCACTAGACTGCACAGCCATTTGAACTACAAGGTTGGCAGTTCAAGCTCACCAGCAGCTCC